ACACACACACACAGACACACAAGTTATTTTACACAGAGTACCAAAATCACCATAGCAACCACATAACAACCACATGGTAACCACCTCGCAACGCATTAGTTTTTATGATGATGTCCTTTCACCCTGCAGAGCTCCGCCCACCTCCTCTAACTTGCTGTAGCTCATAGAGACACAACACCTGTGTGCAGGTGAGTCTCACCGTTCTTCACCATGGCGGAGAAGGTGCGAGCCAGCTCCAGGAGCATCGCCGTTCCGACCCCGGACTTCACGGCTCCTGGTCCGAGCGAGTCCCTCTGAGCTCCCAAGATGATGTACTGGTCTGTCAGAGAGATGGAGGTCATCACTGTCCTCTGATTTGTCATGTGACTGTGTCTGTGCGCTCAGGTGGTACCTGGCTCCACTCTGCCCTCCAGGGAGGAGAAGACGTTGTTGAGCAGGACGGGCGTCATCACGTTGTGGACCGCCATCTTCACTCTGCGTCCCGAGCTGAACCGTGGACCGAGCACGCAGTGTACATACGGCAGCCGGCCACGCCAAGACGGAGGACAGGGCGGTCCTGTCAGCTGACTAAGACGCGGAGAGGCAGTCAGGTAACAACAGGACCTGGGCAGGTGGAAAAGGGGGAGTGGCTTACCTGAGCAGCTTTGCAGCTATGGTGGCACTGATTGGCAGAGCTGGGATGAGGGGCAGACCGGAGGACTGGATGGGCGGGAACTGAGTGTGGTTAAAGGAGGGGAAGCCGGGGGTGAAGGGGTCTCCTGGTCCCAGGTGGACCTGTGATTGGACAAAGAAAGGGGAGATGCTGATTGGACAGGAGCCCCGTGTGTGTGTGTGTGTGTGTGTGGTGTGTGTGTGTGTGTGTGTGTGTGTGTGTGTGTGTGGTGTGTGTGTGTGTTACATGTTCGGACACAGCGGTGTGTGTGTGTTGTGTGTGTGTGTGTGTGTGTGTGTGTGTGTGTGTGTGTGTGTGTGTTACATGTTCGGACACAGCGGTGTGTGTGTGTGTGTGTGTGTGTGTGTGTGTGTGTTACATGTTCGGACACAGCGGTGTGTGTGTTCAGTCCGAGGCGTCGAGGGTCCTGCGGCAGGTCAGCAGGGTCTGGATAGATCAAAGCTCCACTCGCTCCGTTTCTCTCAGCCAACCAAACCTTCTCAGCAAAACTGACCCCGCCCCCAACACGCATCACTACCACGCAGCCAACCACGGACACCCCCGCGCTCTTTAGCCAATTAAAGTCCTGAGGGCGGCCGTAGTTTGCGTAGACCACGTCCCCCTGCAGAGAGAGAGAGAGAGAGAGACAGGTGTCAAGTTAACTGATGTTCTTTGGTGACGTACCTTCCTGTCTCTCCGTCTCACCGTGGGACTTCCTGTGGCGCTGTATGGACAGAAATCTGACGGGTTCAAAGGAATCTGATCTGAGATCTGTCCTGAAGAGTCCACTAACCACAGACTGCTCCTCTGAGACCTGAGAGAGAGAGAGAGAGAAAGAGGGGGGGGGGAAGAGAGAGAGAGACAGAGAGAGAGAGAGAGAGAAGGGAGAGACAGAGAGAGAGAGAGAGAGAGAGAGAGAGACAGAGAGAGAGAGAGAGAGGGGGAGAGAGAGGGGAGAGAGAGAGAGACAGAGAGGGGGAGAGAGAGAGACAGAGAGAGAGAGAGAGACAGAGAGAGAGAGAGAGGGGGGAGAGAGAGGGAGAGAGAGAGAGACAGAGAGGGGGAGAGAGAGAGACAGAGAGAGAGAGAGAGAGACAGGTGTTTCCTCTATCTTCACGCTCTGAAAAACCTGTCGCCCCCTACCTACCTATCAGGGAACTGCAGCGTGGCGTACAGAGACTCGGTCCAGGTATGATCCATCTGCAGCTGTCTGAACCGTCCCAGAATCTCTGAGGCCAGAGACGTCCCCTCTGAGGAACCCGGGGGATGATTCGCTCTGCTGACTCGACTGAGAGGACAGATAGAGACAATCGACTGAGAGGACAGAGAGAGACAATCGACTGAGAGGACAGAGAGAGACAATCGACTGAGAGGACAGAGAGAGACAATCGACTGAGAGGACGGACAGAGACAATCGACTGAGAGGACAGAGAGACAATCGACTGAGAGGACAGACAGAGACAATCGACTGAGAGGACAGAGAGAGACAATCGACTGAGAGGACAGACAGAGACAATCGACTGAGAGGACGGACAGAGAGACAATCGACTGAGAGGACGGACAGAGACAATCGACTGAGAGGACGGACAGAGAGACAATTGACTGAGAGGACAGAGAGAGACAATCGACTGAGAGGAAAGAGAGAGAAAATCGACTGAGAGGACAGAGAGACAATCGACTGAGAGGACGGACAGAGAGACAATCGACTGAGAGGACGGACAGAGACAATCGACTGAGAGGACGGACAGAGAGACAATCGACTGAGAGGACGGACAGAGACAATCGACTGAGAGGACGGACAGAGAGACAATTGACTGAGAGGACAGAGAGAGACAATCGACTGAGAGGACAGACAGAGACAATCGACTGAGAGGACAGAGAGACAATCGACTGAGAGGACGGACAGAGACAATCGACTGAGAGGACGGACAGAGACAATCGACTGAGAGGACGGAGAGAGAGACGCTCAACTGAGAGGACAGAGAGAGAGACAATCGACTGAGAGGACGGACAGAGAGACAATCAACTGAGAGGACAGAGAGAGAGACAATCGACTGAGAGGACAGAGACAATCGACTGAGAGGACAATCGACTGAGAGGACGGACAGAGACAATCGACTGAGAGGACGGACAGAGACAATCGACTGAGAGGACAATAGACTGAGAGGACGGACAGAGACAATCGACTGAGAGGACAGAGAGAGACAATCGACTGAGAGGACGGACAGAGACAATCGACTGAGAGGACAGAGAGAGACAATCGACTGAGAGGACGGACAGAGACAATCGACTGAGAGGACAGAGAGACAATCGACTGAGAGGACAGACAGAGACAATCGACTGAGAGGACAGAGAGAGACAATCGACTGAGAGGACAGACAGAGACAATCGACTGAGAGGACGGACAGAGAGACAATCGACTGAGAGGACGGACAGAGACAATCGACTGAGAGGACGGACAGAGAGACAATTGACTGAGAGGACAGAGAGAGACAATCGACTGAGAGGACAGAGAGAGAAAATCGACTGAGAGGACAGAGAGACAATCGACTGAGAGGACGGACAGAGAGACAATCGACTGAGAGGACGGACAGAGACAATCGACTGAGAGGACGGACAGAGAGACAATCGACAATTGACTGAGAGGACAGAGAGAGACAATCGACTGAGAGACAGAGAGAGAAAATCGACTGAGAGGAAGAGAGACAATCGACTGAGAGGACGGACAGAGAGACAATCGACTGAGAGGACGGACAGAGACAATCGACTGAGAGGACGGACAGAGAGCAATCGACTGAGAGACGGACAGAGACAATCGACTGAGAGACGGACAGAGAGACAATTGACTGAGAGGACAGAGAGAGACAATCGACTGAGAGGACAGACAGAGACAATCGACTGAGAGGACAGAGAGACAATCGACTGAGAGGACGGACAGAGACAATCGACTGAGAGGACGGACAGAGACAATCGACTGAGAGGACGGAGAGAGACGCTCAACTGAGAGGACAGAGAGAGAGACAATCGACTGAGAGGACGGACAGAGAGACAATCAACTGAGAGGACAGAGAGAGAGACAATCGACTGAGAGGACAGAGACAATCGACTGAGAGGACAATCGACTGAGAGGACGGACAGAGACAATCGACTGAGAGGACGGACAGAGACAATCGACTGAGAGGACAATAGACTGAGAGGACGGACAGAGACAATCGACTGAGAGGACAGAGAGAGAGACAATCGACTGAGAGGACGGACAGAGACAATCGACTGAGAGGACAGAGAGAGAGACAATCGACTGAGAGGACGGATAGAGACAATCGACTGAGAGGACAGAGAGACAATCGACTGAGAGGACGGACAGAGACAATCGACTGAGAGAGAGAGAGAGACAATCGACTGAGAGGACGGACAGAGACAATCGACTGAAAGGAGAGAGAGACAATCGACTGAGAGGACGGATAGAGACAATCGACTGAGAGGACAGAGAGACAATCGACTGAGAGGACGGATAGAGACAATCGACTGAGAGGACAGAGAGAGACAATCGACTGAGAGGACAGAGAGACAATCGACTGAGAGGACGGAGAGAGACAATCGACTGAGAGGACGGACAGAGACAATCGACTGAGAGGACAGAGAGACAATCGACTGAGAGGACGGACAGAGACAATCGACTGAGAGGACAGAGAGAGAGACAATAGACTGAGAGGACAGAGAGAGAGACAATCGACTGAGAGGACAGAGAGAGACAATCGACTGAGAGGACAGACAGAGACAATCGACTGAGAGGACAGAGAGAGAGACAATCGACTGAGAGACAGAGAGAGACAATCGACTGAGAGGACGGACAGAGACAATCGACTGAGAGGACAGAGAGAGAGACAATCGACTGAGAGGACAGAGAGACAATCGACTGAGAGGACGGACAGAGACAATCGACTGAGAGGACAGAGAGAGA